TCCAACGGCGGCGCTGACCATATCATCGTACGGACACCGCCAATCTCGCCCATTAATACCGTGGGCGGGGGCCGTGGTGGTGCTGGCGCTGCTCTCTGCGCCGGTGGTTTCATACCTTCGCCTGAAATAAATCATCAATGATCGATTGTTACAATGTGTTGGTACAATTTGTACAATTCCTGAATAATCTATTTATATATAATTGTTGCATGTTTAAGGGGGTATTCTAGTCTAGCAAGTAAAAAAATCGATTTTTTTACATATTTTGCTAATATTTGGTATAGAAAATATGTCTACAAAAGGAATTAGCTCGCAAAATTAACAAAGTTATAGCACCTGAGCCCCTATTCTTGAAAAGAAACATATATGAAGGTCAAAAGAAATATTAGAGTATACGTTACGTATACTATAGCGTTTCCCTAGTTTTTCGTATGCGATACTTTTCAAGAATAGGACCCCTGATAGGGAGCGGTCTTCGGCTCGTTTTCGACGCTCGGGCCACGCGGCGCACAATAAAGCATTATTAACATTTTTATTTCGGCTAAGGTCAGAAAACCGTTGTTCTTAGAAGATCGTGTATATTTGGAGTGGGATCTTTCTAAGGCTGCATTTTCATGTTGACGCTCGACGCTCGATTCGAGCGTCAAACAGGTCACGTGATCAAAATTGACGAATATCAAGCATCAATTTTAATCACGTGACCTGTTTTGACGCTAAAAATGACCTCAACATGAAAAAACAGTCTAAAGGGTCTAACGATCGAGTTTGACTTTTCTGTGAAGGAGCATTTGTTTTCTTGACTTAGTGTGGCTTTGAATGTTGAGGCGAGCGGACGCAAATTGTTTATTTACATGCAAAATATAAAAAATGGTTAAAAAAGGTGAGAAATTTAATGGAGTTCGTATATATTATACCAATTTTAAAAGTTATGAGTGTAATGGGAATGGCTATTGGTCAGCAAGCGAAGATGTACGCAAACTCTCGGGACGAAGCTCGTATCATTTGCTCGAAGCGCTCAACTGACTTCATTAAAGAGGAAAAAACAAGTCGCAGAGAAGAAGAGGATTTCTGCAGGATTTCTGTGAGTAAGAGGAAGATTTCCTCTATGGCCCCGGACTAGTAGCTAATTGATTGTAAGTAAAATTATCTCTTTATAATCAGTATAAAAAACTTTTTTGATGAAACGACTTTTTCTCGAAACCACATTTTTCAAATTGACCTATGATATCTGGAAAACAAGTTGACCAATCGAGTCGAGCATGTGCACACATCTTCAGCATATTCATATATGGCTGTAGTCTCTACCACGATCAGTCGAAATATATTTTTTGTAATTTTTGCAACCATTTTGATGAAAAAAATAGCAAAAATCGAAACTTAATTTTCGATGACGTCATTTTTTTAATTTTCAGTATTTTTATTTTCGTTCTGGTATTTGCTATAGCCAAACTCATACTAATTAAGAATTTCTTTGGTTTTTTTGTTTCAGATGAACAGAAGAATTGGAATCGTGGGAGCCATGGACCTATTTCTTTTTCACTACTTAATTTAATATTTTATACAGCGCATATTTATAATTACTTTTTAATAAAAAAATTCTAAGACATATTTCAAATATGTATAAATAAGTAGGAAAAAACTTCATCTCAAAGAATTTTATATTATATTTTTTAAAAATTCGCAAAAATAGTAAAAATTCGGCTTCTAGACTAGAATACCCCCTAAAGACTTCCCCCTCTGCACTACTTTTGATCTTAAACATACTTTACATTTGTCATGTGTAATCGTAGAGAAAGCGAATGAAAATAGTGTTTTATTCTGTTGAATAGTATTCTTAGTAAATATCCAGTTTTAGGTGACATCTCACCGATTTCAATGTCCTTTAGATATCAAAGAATTGGAAAGAATACGGGCTTTAGGAGTCAGGCGCAGAAGACGTCGCGCAAATAATACACTTATGAAGCTTGAAACTTCTTTATTTAACAAACGCGCTTACATGTTTCGGCTCATTTTTAGCCTTCTTCAGAGCAAACACAAACTAACATATATAAAGTAAAAGTTATCCTGTCATGGTGATGTACATGTAAGCGTGTTTGTTAAATAAAGAAGTTTCAAGCTTCATAAGTGTATTATTTGCGCGACGTCTTCTGCGCCTGACTCCTAAAGCCCGTATTCTTTCCAATTCTTTGATTTATAAGGAGTCTTGATTAGTTTGATTTGTTATACGAATCCTTTAGATATGTTGTAGGAGAAAGTGTTCTGAGTAATTCCCCACAAGAATTTTAAGTGGGAGACGGCATTGGTTTAGAAGATATAACAAATAAAAATTTCTCTCATAATAAAGCATGGCGTACGACTTTCCACACAAAGCGACTTTCAGTCTGCTTCTCCCACCTTCCCACTGCTTCGGGGCGTCCGACTTCCACACGAAGCGACTCCCATCCCACCTCCCCTCCTGCTTAGGGGCGTACGACTTCCACGCAAAGCGACTCCCACCTTCTCTCCTGCTTCGGGGCGCACGACTTTCTAAATAAATATGGTCAATCTCGGAGAATCGTGCCAGTCGTGCGCCCCTTCGGCAGGAGGGAGATGAGGTGGGAGTTGTTTCGCATGGAAGTCGTGCGCTCCTAAGCAAGGAGGAGGTGAAGTGGGAGTCGCTTCGCGTGAAAGTTATGTGCCCCTAAGCAGAAGGGAGATGGAATGAGAGTTGCTTTGTGTGGAAGTCGTGCGCCCCCAAACAGGGGGTGGGGGTGGGGTGGGAATAGCTTATGCCAATGTTATCCCCTCTGTATATTATAGAACTTTTATTTACTATATCTCTTAAGCCAATGCCGTCCCCCACTTAATTCTTGTGGGGAATCACTCAGGACACTTTCCCCTACAACATATCTAAAGGATATTGAAATCGTATGAAGTATCACCTAAAACGGATATTTACCATATTTTTTATCAAAGTCAAAAAGTAACTGTGGTTTAAACTAAATTCTATGGATATTCTTTGTGATTTTCATAACTAACACTAATTATAAGATGTAATAATTTCCGATCATTGGACCTAAATGACGAATCGAAGAGAAAATTTGTATTAAATACTTCTGTTAGAAGGGTATTTTTATTATAAATATTATTGCATGTTATTTAAAAATTATATTTAGTAATTATATATGAGTAACGTTTCTTCACGATATGGCCGATTCAAAATAGTTAATGATTAGGTATGAAAGAATAAATCGTTAAATAAATTTAATGTAAGAAGTGCTTGATTTAGTAAAAAATACAGGACTTACATAAGGTTGCTGTGGTGGTAGCGCCGGTAGTGACACAGCTGACATTGGTACCGCTGGAACTGGTGGAGACAGTTGTTGCATTCTGCCCACCGTAACTGACGGCGCTGCTGATAACACCGTTGAGTAGCCTCTGCGTAGCGAATCCCTGTACACTAGTAGTGTTCTGAGACCAAAATTGATGATGAGCCACCAACAGATGCGGTGGTACCGGGGGTGCGCGTGATCTTGGTGGCGCCGGTGGTGAGTGTTGCTGTTGCAGGGATCCGTGTGGTCTGGCTGAACCAACTGCGCCGGGACTAATGTTCAGGTTTAAGTTGAATTGAGATGACGGGCTATTTCGGTGACTAGGTTGGTTGGAGGCTT